TTTCCAACCTGGTTGATTCTATAATTCTATGGTTCTATTCCAAGTGGCTTCCAGCAACAACACGACCCATCGCCTTCCTCTGCCAGATTAGGGGTCTGCTTCCTAGAAAGGCATGGTCTGGAAGGAAAAGCCTCAACTTGGATGCTGGGAAGCTCTAGGAAAAGTGTGCATTCCTCCAGCCCACGTGGCAGATTCATTTCCTTGGCAGGAAACCATCAATCTCGGAATTGTCTCTTCCTGCTCCCAGTGCCAAGAGATATTCACAATAGGAGGGTTTGGGGTTTTCTCTTCTGTTTGTTTCTCTGCAGCAGCTGCACAACCTCTGCACCCCCCGTCAACGGGTATTACTCTTGCTTCATTCTCATTCTTGGGTTTGAGTGAGTCACACAAGTCAGTGCTGCCGCAGAGGAGTCTGCAGGGAAAACTTGGATGTCACCCCTAAGTTAAAGCTATTCGCATGCAAGCCCTGCGTCCACATGGCATTCACCCCAGGGATGGACTCCAAAATCTGGGCTGAACATCAAGAGGGTTTTTCAGACAGTGTAATTTAGGATGTCTAATTTAGGAATTTGGGGGCTTGCATCTATTTCTTTGGCTTTATCTTTGTGTTTTGGCAACTTTAACAGCTTGAAAGTGCTTTAATAGGGAAGCCAAAGAGGAGCTTTCACCCACAGTGCAGGGGACCATGAAGTGCTTCTGTCACACACCACAGGGTGATGGGCACTTACTGTGTCTGCATCTTAAAGATATTGCCGGGAATGTGCAGTTCTGGTGTCCCCTACATAAAGACATGGAGCTGCTGGAGCAAGTCCAGAGGATGCTCAGGGGCTGGAGCAGCTCCCGTATGGAGACAGGCTGAGAACACTGGGGCTGTTGAGCCTGGAGAAGAGAAGCTGCTGGAGACCTCAGAGCAGCTTCAGTGTCTGAAGGGGGCAACAAGGATGCTGGGGAGGGACCTTTGTCAGGGACTGGGGTGACAGGACAAGGGGTGATGGGTTCAAACTGAAACAGGGGAAGTTCAGGTTGGATCTAAGGCAGAAGCTGTTCCCTGTGAGGGTGCTGAGGCGCTGGCACAGGGTGCCCAGAGAAGCTGTGGCTGCCCCATCCCTGGCAGTGTTCAAGGCCAGGTTGGACACAGGGGCTTGGAGCAACCTGCTCTAGTGGAAGGTGTCCCTGCCCGGGGCAGGGGTTGGAGCTGGAGGAGCTTTAAGGTCCCTCCAACACAAACCAGTCTGGGATCCCATGAGATCAGGTGTAAACTAACTTGATTGAGAAATCAAGGGACGATAAGGAAGGAATCTGAGCCGTGGACAGCTGTATCCAGAGCTTGAAACGCATCGATGCCATTCAACAACCCAGTTTCTATCCCCGGCATCCCCTCTTCTTCACGTATCAGCGGAGATGGCTAAAGAGTTCTCATAGTAGAAATAAATTTATTTACTCTTAAGAAATCTGAGGTGTTTGCATGTTACAAAAATAAAAATGTACAGTCATTGTCACAAAACCCACCTGGTTTTTAGTATAAGTTAGTGCTTTTACAAACAAACATCAGTATATGTACATTTCCAGTTGGTACCTCTCCAACCACTCTGCATCTGAACAGTGCCACCAGCTTGTGTAGGATCAGGATCTCAGCATCGCAGAGGGACCCCCGTGGTGGGCCTGGAGTGAACTTTGAGCTCATTTTAGTTGAGTTATTCAGAGCACGTAGCTTGATTTGCCCAGAGCTGAGATAATCCCCTCCTTTGCCTCCTGTGGTTGGGACATTGTTGGCTGGGACAGGAGCCCTCCACAGGACGGTGGCTCCACCAAGCTGGGACCACAGGAACCTCCCAGTTAACCCTGAATGGTCCCAGTCACCCTTGTCTGAACTCTGGTTATGTCGCCGTGTCTCTTTATCTCCACCAAACCACTTCATAAGAAGGAGGGATGGGAGAAACTATGAAGAGGTCTGAGGAATTGGTCTAAACCAGGATCAAAGGTTTGCCTAATCCTAAAATAGAGCCAGGGCTGCTCTTACAAGAAGCAGAACAAGCAATTTTCAGTTTGGGGGTGAGGAATCAGCGTCCTTGTGGCAAAGCTTGGCAAGGAACCCATGGACCTGGGCAGGAGGGTTGGAACTAGATGATCTTAAGGTCCTTTCCAACTCTAACTATTCTATGATTCTATGATAATTACAGAGAGAAAGACCAAGTGGACCTTCTGGTGAAGTGTTTTGTGGGTATTTTCTCCAGTTTACTTTGATGATGAGGGATGCAAGGCCACATCTGGACAGGACTGGGGTTAAGCTTAGCACCATGTTAACTGGCACAGCTCCTGAACCCAGGGAAGGTCAACACTGTCAGTAAGGGATATGTTGACTGGCTCCAGTGGAGTACTAGGATTATGGGGAGAACAGACAGTGGCATCTGGGCAGCAGTTTGGGTCCCACCAAGCTGCTAAAGGTCGCAGAGGGCTGTCACCTCTAGCAGTAAGGATGTGGCAGCGTCAGCCAAGGGGGTGACCAATGGTCTTTGTTTCTTTGCTGGAAACTTAAGTCAGTAGCAAGGGGGTTAAAAACAAGGCATGAAGAGCTCGCCCTATATTTTAATGAGCTGGAGATGATTATCAAAGTCAGCAGCTAAAAGGAAACTATGGATTCCTAAAAGCTTTTCAAGGGTGAATGTCGCTGGTGGGAAGCGCTAATGGGTCTTTTGGAAGATGCTGACCCCACTAGAGAAACCTACAAGGGACCTCCTTGATGCTACCAGTAAACTCCAGCGTGACGGAAGGTCCACCAGCACCCTTTTTAACGGGAAGACAGCCCTTGGACAGGAGCTAGGAGTCCCCTCCTGCTCTGCCAGCAGATGCCAAAACTTGAAGCTGAGAAAGCATTTCTGCAGAGGTGCAAAGCTGTGGGAGACCCTTTCCCATTGCATTTGCGCTTGACTTTTTCATTGACCTGTTCAGCAGAACCTCAGCTGACTCTCCTCATCAGCTAAAAGCCTTTCTCCTTTGCCAAGGCACAGATTCCCTGCTGCCTCTGTGCCAGGGAATCTGGAGAAAGGCAGATGGATTTCTTTGTGGGGACCTTTTGCACACAATGTTTCTGCTTTAGAAAATGATCTAAGACATTCGGGGAGTGATTATCTTTGAGCAGATTTGCCCACTGTGATAGAGGTCACCCAACCTCACTGGTGGAGAGATGCTATTTCAGTGTTAGACACAGAGGCAGGCTGGGATGAAGAGGGAGATATGGGGTTTGTGTGTGTAACCACAGCAGCATCTTCCTGAAAGAATACATTTGAAACACCAACAAGCAGAGGAGTGTGTTTAAACACAGACCATGGTGAAGTGTGTGCAAGCCAAGGCACCACAACCACCAAAAGCCTTGGGCCCTGAACTTCCCTTCACCTGGGATAAACCCTTCTGTCACGGAGATGGTGCTGGCCATGCTGGAGCAGAGCTAGGATTTCACATCCTTGGACAACGTGTCCGTGTCATTGCTGTTTTCCAGGTGACTGTTGGGCATGATGCCCAATGCCATTTCATTTGGAGGCTTCCCTGGCATCTTGCTGCCTGCAAACTTCATGAAGCGTTGTCCTGCTAAGAAATACAATATGGGGTCCAAGCAGCTATTGGTGCTAGCAAGGGGACGAGTCAACTTATAGGCTAAATTGATGGCATTGAGGGTCTGACAGCTCAAGTCCCAGCTCCGGAAGGAGTAGTACAAGGTACGAGTGACATGGAAAGGAAGAAAACAGACGATGAAGACCATCAAGACAATAATTATCATCTTGACCGACTTCTTTTTGGATCGGGACAGACGGGACATCCCCCTTGTGGGCTGCAGCAGCCTCCGGGCCATGAGGCAGTAGCAGATGATGATGATGAGGAAAGGGATGCAGAAGAGCAGCACCAGCATCACCGAACTGTAAATGACAAACTGGCCAAAGAGGTCTTTGCTGGATGTGTCGTGGCAGGTGATGGTGTCACGCTTCACGCTGGTGGTGACAAAGAAGAGCACAGGAGACTGGCACACCACAGTCACGACCCACACGAGGACTGACACCCTCCGGGCGTAGCGAACGTGTCCCCACTGCAGCGACTTCAGCGGGAAGCAGATGCCCAGGAATCGATGGATGCTGATGCAGAGGAGGAAGAGGATACTGCAGTAGAGGTTGGTGTAAAACAAGAAGCGGACTATCTTACACAAGCCCACGCTGAAAGGCCAGTTGTCCCCCATGGCATAATAATACACCAAGAGGGGTAGGGAGACCACATAGAGGGTGTCAGACACGGCCAGGTTAAACATGTATGTGGTGGAGGCGTTCCAGGTCTTGATCCTGAAGATGAAGAGGTAGAGGGACAGCAGGTTGAGAAAGAGCCCCAGCACACACACGATGCCGTAGGAGACGGGCAGCAGGACATACTTGAAGTCCTCATCAAATACGCATCTGTAGCCGTTGTCATCTGCGACACTTGGGTCCAAGGAGCTGTTGATGAGTCTGGTCCAGGCCGAAGGAGTTGTTAGGTCTGCCATTGCCCTGGGGGGAAAGCAAAGAGGCTGTAAGGACACAGAATCATAGAATCATGGAATCAACCAGGGTGGAAAAGCCCTTTCAGCTCATCCAGTCCAACCATTCCCAGCCCTGCCAAGGCCACCACTAACCCCTGGCACTGAGGCCTCGGCTCCACGGGCTGTGAACACTTGCAGGGACGGTGACTCCAGCCCTGCCCTGGGCAGCCTGTTCCAATGCCTGAGCAGCCTCTGGGCAAGGAATTGTTCCTCAGCTCCAGCTAAACGTGAAGGTAAGGAGGTAAGAACATGGAAGTAGGGAGTCCCTGGAAGAGGTGGATTAGATGAGAAAACTCCAGCACCACCATGCTGTAACACATGGAGCATTTACCACTTCTTTTGGCACCCTGTGCCAGCGCCTCAGCACCCTCACAGGGAAGAGCTTCTGCCTTAGGTCCAACCTGAACTTCCCCTTTTCCAGTTTGAACCCATCCCCCCTTGTCCTGTCACTCCAGTCCCTGATGAAGGTCCCTCTCCAGCATCCTTGTAGCCCCCTTCAGACACTGGAAGCTGCTCTGAGGTCTCCACGCAGCTTCTCTTCTCCAGGCTCAACAGCCCCAACTTTCTCAGCCTGTCTCCATACCAGAGGAAGCATGTTCTCCATCTCCATCTCCATCTCCATCTCCATCTCCATCTCCATCTCCATCTCCATGCTCTTCCTGGGTTAGTTCATGATGATGATGATGAGGTTTTAATAGGTTTAGTGCTGGGCTGATGGTGGCCACCTCACTAGTCCTGCTTCGTGGTCTTAAGATGTGCTCTACAGCGTCACCACCACCAGTACATGTGTCTATGCTTGTGCAAAGCTGGTTTATACATGGAAATGACCAATAGAGACAAGAAAAATGGACTCAAAAGAGTCTCTGCAGACACGCAGGGTCTGGCAGTGTCTGCCGGGAGGGACAAGGGCCCTTTTGTGCGTTGGGGACAGCCCATGACCCAGCCGACACATGATCTGAGCTCAGCAAACCCATCAGCCAGGAATCAAATTAAAGGGCATTTGCCTCTCTTGCCATCAAAGGAGCCAGTTTGGTGTCAGTGTTGTTCCCTGTCCCATGGAGCCCATGGTAATGGGGTTACAGGGAGATGAACCCAGTGTAGGAGCTTAGAGAGCGGGAGCTACTGCAGGAGAAGAGCTTTGAGTAAAGGTGCCCTTTGAATGAGTGTGTGGGGTGTGCCCTGACCCAAATCCCACCATGATTTTAGGTGGAAAAGAGCAATACCAGCCTCCTCAGCTAAATAGTGCAGCTCTAACCTGGTGCCACCATGCTGCTGGATGCCATGAGCAGGCCCCTTCTTGCAAACAAGCATTGCTTTGACCCAGAGCTATCCTGCACCTACCTCCAATTCAGATCCTGCAGGGAAGGAGGTAGTGAGGGTCTCCTAGAAGCTGCCAACCTGAATGATCTCTCACCAAAGCAAAGCACTGTGGCATTAAAAAGCACCTTAACAACCCATAGCTGATGGAGAAGGGGTGAAGTGATACCTCCAGCCCATCACGTTGGGATAACTCCATCCTTGCTCCAAGGACTGGACCAAACAACCTGTCCAAATGTGCCATGGACACAATCCCTGGTGATGTTTCCCCCATTTGGCTGCTTTTCCCCTCGGAGCAGACCACAGGCGACGTTGGCTGCGGCTCACGCTTCCCAAGGACGTGGGTAGAAACCACACGCACGCCCAGGCCCTGACTAATCTGCAACATCTGCAGAACCCAAATACATCCTTAGGAACCTCTCTGTGATGAATATGAGGAGCCAGGACTGATCTTGCCCTGTCCTGGCCCAAGGTTTTGCTTTTCCTGCACCCGGTTCAGCTTTGGTCCCATCACTCTTCATCCCACTTCCCTCAAGTCCTCAGCAACAGGGTTGTCCCTGTGGATGGAGAGGGTTGACAGGGCTGAGGCAGATGGGAAAACACTTTCCAGCTTCTTTTCTCCCCAATTTCTTCCTTCCCTGAGTTTTGCAGATCTGTGGCCAGAGAGACAGAGGTTGCCACAGACTTGGCAGATGATTAAATGGGTTGGCAGGCCACAGTGACCAAAAGAAGCCACACGAGATGCCCTAAAGGATGCAGGGAAGTTACAGAGCTCCAGACTTCAGTCTTGCATGTGGTTTCTCCACGCCTTTACATCTGCATCTCCTCTGTTCCCTGCAGACAACCCGTCACCCAGCTCTGAAGCACTGACGGGGGCAAGATCACCCCATCTTCCAGCCCACCAGCAACCTCAGCTAGAAAACCCAACAAGGCATTTGAAACCCATCCGTAAGCCAAGGTGGGGAATCTCCTCTGGTGTGCAGGGCAGCACGGGTCATGCTGTGGCTATGGATGTGCCAAGATGCACGTCTCTATCTGCAGGACAAGGAGCAAACAGGGCTAACTACAGAGCAAACAGGGTAATTACAGTGACAAAACTCCTCTCACAAAGCAGCCTTGTCCTTGCCATTGTGCTCTCCCTCCTTTTCCTTCTGGAAATGCAAAAGCCTTTCTTTCTTTTTAGCTTTTTTCCCTGTTTTTGCCTGGAATCGCTGGACAAAACCTGCTGTGTCTATTGGGGTGGCTGCAGTCCACCCCCTTACCCTGTCACTGCTGCATCTGCAATGAGTGAGCTGGAAGAGGACACGGCCAAGGCATGTGAAGGCACAAGAGCTGGCAGCTGCCCTCGCCTCTGCCTACGGGCTGGGTGGCACAAACACAGCTCTTACATGATGCATGGAGCATCGACGAGGGGAGGGAGAAAGCAACAGCGATCCCGGAGGATGCCAAGCAGGAGAAATACCTCTACGACTACCAAAAGCAAACCCACCACGATGCTTCGGTGAGGACCACCTGCATCTGCTTCATCAGCCTTCCCAGGGTCATGGCAGGAGGGTTTTGTCTCTGGTATTGAAGGTAGGTGACCATGGACAGCTTTTTAGGTGCCCTCCAACTCCTTGTGCATCGCCCCAACCAGCTTCCTCCATGCTGGCCCATGTGTTGGGTCTGGATGAACCTGGTTGCATCAGTTGGACTATCTCTTTATAGCATGGCCTTGAAACTGTTTATCCTATAGGATACAGGGTTTTTTCCCCCCAGCAAACAGGTACCATCATCTGTAATGGATGAAGACAGCATGGGAGAGAAGCCCTGCAATGAGAGGAGTCCAAGTAGACCAGTATCGGAATCGCAGCAGCCACGTGTCCCCAAGTAGATATGCCCACAGGCATCCCTGAACAGCTCCAGTAACAGTATCTACCAGGGATATTTAGATGAGTCAGTATAAGGAAGGAGGGGGCTGTCATCAGAGAAGGTCATGGGCAGCTCAGGGATGAGTAGTGCTTGGGGCCAGCACAGGGGGATCATGTGCTGGACACTGAACCTCCAAGTAAAGGGCTTTAATCCAGGTTTCTACCTCGTTTTTCAGCATTCTCAGTGGTCGCCATCCATCTGGTGGTGTTTTGTGCTTGGGAACCTGCTAGTAAAGTCATGAAAGCCAAGTGCAACCAAATCACGGCTACGATGAATTTTCATGGGGGGACCTATGAGGTCTAATTGACCTCCCCAAGTACTTCATGTGGATTAGAATAATAGAATCATACAATCATAGAATGGTTTGGGTTGGAAAGAATCTTAAGATCACCCAGTTCCAACCACGATCCCAAAGGTGGCAGGGACACCTTCCACTAGAGCAGGTTGCTCCAAGCCCCTGTGTCCAACCTGCCCTTGAACCCTGCCAGGGATGGGGCAGCCACAGCTTCTCTGGGCACCCTGTGCCAGCGCCTCAGCACCCTCACAGGGAAGAGCTTCTGCCTTAGATCCAACCTGAACTTCCCCTGTTCCAGTTTGAACCCATCCCCCCTTGTCCTGTCACTCCAGTCCCTGATGAAGGTCCCTCCCCAGCACCCTTGTAGCCCCCTTCAGACACTGAAGCTGCTCTGAGGTCTCCAGCAGCTTCTCTTCTCCAGGCTCAACAGCCCCAATGTTCTCAGCCTGTCTCCATACGGGAGCTGCTCCAGCCCCTGGTCGTCCTCCTGGCCTCCTCTGGACTTGCTCCAGCAGCTCCATGTCCTTCTGATGTTGGGGGCACCAGAAAGATGGATTCATTCACCAGTAGGACCTCACAGGTGCAGCCCTTTGTCCTGCCGGTGTGAAGCGCTGGGAAATCAAACCCATGCTCAGCTGCAGCCACAGCTCCCATCATTGCACACTGGAGGTCAAAACCACCATCCAGTTACTGCATCTTCTCCACCAGCTCCTTTTCAACAGACACAACGGGAGCGTGGGTGTTTTCCCTGCCCTAATTTATAGGCATTCAGTAGACTCATCAAAATCCTCCCCCTGGATCAGGAACTACCCGAGGCGCTGGGAAGCAAATGACCTGGCATCATTTTCCTCTCCTTTGGGACCGTGGTTGAAACCTTCCACAACCAAAAGCAAACAGACGGCGTTCGGATGCTGCTGAGCCTGTCTGGTTGGGAGACGTGAGGTGGGACCAGGCTGACCTTTGAGCCTGGCCAAACTGCTTGGGTTTCAGCTGCCCTTTTCATTTGGCTCCTTTCTGCTGCTCTGACCTTCAGTGCCTTTATCCTCTGGGCTGGCTCTGGCCACCAGCGTGGGCTGAGGACATGCCCAGTGTCCCGGTCCCACCATCCGCATCGCTCTTCAGTGAACCCAAGGCAAAATACCTCCAAGGTGCATTTCCAAAAGCAAGTTTTAAGCAGCAAAAGGGGCTTCACTCATCTCTTTACTGTAGCCCCAGGCACTGTCTCTATTTTATCCCTCATGGATCCGTCCTCTTCTCCATCCCCAAAATAACCAGAAACCCTTATTCCTCCCAAAATAAGCTTGCAAATAATTTGAGTTTTCCTTCTTTTCCCCATAAAAGCACCTTAGAGGTGCAGAAATGGAGCTGCTCCATAAAGCAGCCCCGTGCCTCAGTTTCCCCTCCTGCCCCTCAGCTGAGAAACAGCAAAGATGAATTTTTC